TTTTATAAATGCATTTTGTTGGTGGAGACTAAACCACATACCTGTCATCTAATTTTTAAGGGAGACTGGCAATTGTAATTTTTAAAAATTCTACTTTTGTTAGGTGGGACTGATAATGTGAGGATATATTAAAATATAGAGGCCAGGTTCAAATGATGTTGAGTAGCCAAAAATGAAAGATGACCACTAGAATCTCCTAGCTAGTCTCATAGCCTTTAGTCAGCTTTTCCTTATCCTTCATGACCCAAATCCTAGTGAGGACTTCTCTGACTTTTCCACCTGTCCTATGTGTTTCCAAAGAGTCCATCTATTATGTTTGTTTCCCCTAGACCATGACTTATATATATGTGTAGCTTTCTCTAAGTGTCAGGCATTGCTTTATAAATAATAACCTTTAATTTGAATATAAAAGCAGTCTCTCAAATTTATACTCTCTTAACTAGCCTCACATAGTCCCTTGTGCATAGTATACATCTGGTAAATAGTGATTATAAAATTTAAAAGTAGAGAAGGAAAGGAAAGGTACAATCTTGCCACCTTAAACATTAATATTCTGTTACACATATTTCAAATCTAGTCTTCCAAGGAAAAAGCTAGCAAAAATTTAACTGCCCTAAGATGAGCTGAGCTGCTGGAGGACATAGTGAGTTCCCTGATAGTTGATATAGTTGTAGAACATAGATGAGCATCTGTGGAGTTATAAAAGTGCTGTCCAGACTAGTTACTCTGATTCTGTTTGGATTCAACAATGCTAGAAACTAAGAGAGGGAGAGGCAGAATGTATTTTCTGCTTTCTAGTAAGTTTTTAAAAAGCTTTACAAATGAAAAAAAATATGGATATAAGATAGAAAAGGTAAGAGTAGAGACAGTGATCCAGGTGAGTATGGAAAAGAACTTGTATATATAACATGAAATTTATAGATATTGACTGTGTATAGTCATAAGAATCACTGCAGTGGGTACAAATATAGGTCAGGTGATGTTTGCTGTCACTAAAGTTAACTACGGTATACCTTATCCAAAGTGTGTGGGACCAGAAGTATTTTAGAGTTTTTCACATTTTGTAGTATATGCATAGGCTTTACTGGTTGAGCATTCCTAATTAGAAAACTGAAAGGCTCTAAAATCTGAAATGTTTTCAATGTCATATTAACATTCAAAAGGTTTCAGAATGATATCCTAAAAGTTTTGGATTTCAGAACATTTTGGGTTTTGTATATTAGGGGGATCTGTATCCAATAGATAAATGACACTTTGTTACTTTTCATGGATTCTTTGGTTTTTCCACCACATTATCACATATGAGTCTCTAAAATAGCTTTAGTATTATTCTTTGTCAAGAAATTTACTTTATTGAAAATAGAATTGCCAGAATTACCGAAAGAATAAAGAAATAAAATATTGATTTTTTAAAAGTTAAGATAAAATTTTTTGACTCCATATATGACAAAGAACATGAGGTATTTCTTGATCTTTCTGTGCCTAAACTTATTTCACTTAATGTCATGATCTCCAGTTTTATGCATTTTGTCACAAATGACAGGATTTCATTCTTTTTTTTTAACCAAATAGTGTTCACTTTTTATATGCACCACATTTTCTTTTTGTATTCATCGGTTGATGGACACTTAAGTTGTTTCTATTTCTTGGTTGTTGTAAAGAGTACTGCATTGAACTTGGGAGTGCAGATGTCTCTTTGACCACTGATTTCATTTTCTTTGCATATACACCCAGTAGTGGGATTGCTGGATCATACGACTGTTTTAATTTCTTTTCTTTGTTGTTGTTGTGGTGCTGGGGATTGAACCCAGGGCCTTGTGCATGTGAGGCAAGTACTCTACCAGCCGAGCTATATCCCCAGCCCCATGATTGTTTTAATTTCTGAAGGAAACGTCATGCTTTTTTCCACAGTGGCTATAAATTTACATTCCCACTAATTTATCTTCTCATAGAATTTGAGAATAGAATAGTAGTTAACAGAGGCTAAGAGGCGGTAAGGGGGAGATAGGATAGGGAAAGGTTGGTCAGTTAAGTCCCGGTGTTCTATTATACAGTAATGTGTCTATAGTTTAAAAATAATATTTTCTATATTTCAAAAGAGCTAGAAGACTCGAGATCATTTTGGATATTCCAATGCCATAAAGAAATGACAAACATTTAAGATCATAAATATGCAAACTACCCTGATTCAATCATTACATGTATCCAAAGATGATATTGTACTTCAAGGATATGTGCAATTATATATCAATCAAAATTAAAACTTAGGAATGTAAAATAAATTAAGATATAATTCACATACATAAAACTCATCCTTTTAAAGTGTAAACTTTGGTGTTTCTTGGTATATTTCAAAGATCACCATAACAATCAAACTGTTTTAGAACAGTTGCATCCCCTCAGAAAGAAACACCATACTCATAAATAGTCATAATTTAATATTCTTTTCTTCTTTTCTGGGCCTTGGCAACCAATAATCTATTTTCTAATTCTGTAGATTTGATTTTTTATTGATGGAATCATACAACATGTGGTTTTTGTGACTGGTTTCTTTTACTTGCATAATATAATTTTAAGGCTCATCCATTTTATAACAATACTTTATTCCTTTTTATGGCTGAATACTATTGTATATGACAAATTTATATGGATATACCACATTTTGTTAATTTAGTCAGTACTTGATGGACACTTGAATTGTTTCTACTCTTTGACTATTAGTAATAATGCTGCTATAAACATTCATGTGCAAGTTTTGGTGTACAGATATTTTCATCCTTCTTGGGTATATGATCTGAATCCTATGTGTGACCTCTCAAGAAATTGGCACATTGTTTTATCAAAATGGCTGGCTGCATTGTTTTATATTCCCACCCTTCTCTAACATTTGTTGTTGTTTATTTAGTGGTACTGGGGAGTGAACCCAGGACCTTGAACATGCTAGGAAGCTCTGTATCCTCCCCATCCCTTCCTTCCAACATTTATTATTTTAATCTATTTTATTCAAGCTGTTTTAGAGAGAAGGGTGATCATATTGTGGTTTTCCTTTGCATTTCCGTAATAAATAATGATGTTGAACATCTTTTCATATGCTTATTGGCCATTTTCATATCTTAAGAAAAATGTATGCTCAAATACTTTGACCATTTGTAATTAAGATATTTGTCTTTTCATTGAGTTGTAAAAGTTTCTTTCCATGTGAGTATCCATCCCTTGACAGACAGAATTTCTAAACACTTTGGCCCATTCTCTGTGTTTTCTTTTCACTTTTCCATTTTGAAGCATAATCATTTCCATCTTGGTTTTGCAATCCCATCCAGGGTGTCTTTTTCTGTTGTGGGGGTTAACATAAGTTTCAAAATGAAGAAAAATAATTTGTGTAATGAAAGTGTTATATGTGTGCATATTCACAAAATACAGGTGTATTCCCAATCTCATAAAGTTTACTGAACCTCAGTGTGTTCTTATAAGTGAATATTTTTCTGTCCAGTGAGTCATTTAAAAAATTTTATAAAAAAATTATTTTAATTAGTTATATATGACAGAATGCATTTTGATTCATTGTACACAGTTGCAGCACAACTTTTTATTTCTCTGGTTGTATACAACATAGTGTTGTATCATATGTGCAGTCATACATGTACCTAGGTAGAATGATGTTGTTTATCTCATTCCATCATCTTTTCTGCCCCCATACCCTCTCCCTACCTCTCCCCACCTTTGCCCATCAAAGTTCCTCCCTTTTTCCCATGCCCTCCCTGCTTTATGGATTAGCATCCACTTATCAGAGAGAACATTCGGGTTTTGGCTTTTTGGGATTGGCTTACTTCGCTTATGAAGATATTCTCCAATGCCATCCATTTATCTGCAGATGCCATAATTTTATTCTCTTTCAATGCTAATACTCCATTGTGTATATATACCACAGTTTCTTTATCCACTCATCTATTGAAGGGCATCTAGGTTTCTTCCACAGTTTAGCTATTGTGAATTGAGCTGCTATAAACTCTGATGTTGCTGCATTACTATAGTATGCTGATTTTAAGACTTTTGGATATAGATTGAGGAGTGGGATAGCTGGGTCAAATGGTGATTCCATTCAAATTTTCCAAAAAATCTCCATACTGCTTTCCAGATTGCTTGTACCAGTTTGCAGTCCTACCAGCAATGTATGAGTGTGCCTTTTCCTCCACATCCTCACCCGTACTTATTGTTGTTTGTATTCTTGATAACTGCCATTCTGACTGGCATGAGATGAAATCTTAGTTTCAATTTTCATTTCTGTAATTACTAGAGATGTTTAACATTTTTCATATATTTGTTGATTGATTGTATATCTTCTTCTGAGAATTGTCTATTCATCTCCTTAGCCCATTTAGTGATTTTTGTTATCCCCCCTAACTATATTTCTCTTTTTTCTTTTTTAATCCAACAACTTACTATGAATTTTTCTTCAGGGATATGTTATGGATGCATATTCCCTCTTTGCCAATCATATTTGCTTTCTTGGATAATAGTAATCCTAAGCAATTTGTATGTGTGTATTTGCTTTTGCTATCAAGTTAAACAAATAGCTTTGGTAGGGCAGTATAATGTATATCTATGCTCTCAACTGCCAATTTATTCTGTGGAATAGTTTAAAAATACCTTTTTCTCCCTGTTTACTGATTGACTTGGTAATAATATAAACCTTGGGTGCATGGTAAAATTTATGCAAGGTTGTGGAATCTAGAGTGAAAAATAATAGTGAAGTATCCAGAAAAAAAAGAGTTTTGTTCATTATAGCAGGAAGTATTTATTTAAGAGGTAGATTTTTATTAATATTTGTTATTATGGTATCTTAGGGTAAAAAATAATAGTGAAATATCCAGAAAAAAGAATTGTTAGTTACAGAATGACTTAATATTTTAAGACATAGACATCATTAATATTTATTCATCACTTTAGAAATGCTTAGGCAGAAATTTATCAATGCTCACAGTGAATGTTCTTTCTAACAGGAGGACATGAACCTTAATGAAGAAAAAAAAGCTCCTTTACGAAACAAAGATTTTACCACCAAGCGTGAGATGGTTGTCCAGTATATTTCTGCTACTGCCAAATCTGTAAGTAGAGAAACTTTCCTGGTACCAACAGAATGAGCTTAAGCATTATCTACTTAAAAGATGAATAAACCTCAGATGTTCAAATTCTTGCTGCAAATGTATTCAGACTATTTAGGAAACAATTTGTGTTTGATTTTTATACATTTATATATTTCAAAATGTATATATTTAAAAATGAAATTGTTCATCTTTGGAAATGAGAAGCTCTCATTATTATAAACAAGAAAGCTTAGAAAGGACAGCAGGCTCTTGAAGTAATTCAGTGAGTTTCAGGGCAGAGGCTTTGTGCAATTACTAAAAATTGACAGCATTTTGCAGGTATTTCACTTAATGTATGGGTTGTTAGATAAAAATTTTGTATTTTGAGGGAGAATATAAGAAAAAATATAGTCATCTTTAATTTAGTTGACATTAAAGCTACATGTCTAGTGTCTGCTTGCATGTAATTTTTAGCAATGCTTTTTAATATGCAGTGTTGTTGGCTTTTTTCATCATTTATATAATGCAAACTGTGTAAGCTGCCTCATAATTGTTATTGTACAGCTTTGTTCAATATAAATTAAAGTGCTTAATAGGAACTTTAATCAAATCTGTGTGTGTTTCAAGACTTGAAAGTAGGTTTATTGAAAGGACTTATTATCAATGGGAAAACCTTACTGTTTTAATAGAGTATTTTGCTTTTTTCACCTTTTAAGGCACTTCCAAAATAAGTCTTTGGGTTTAATTTTTTATTAGAAACATGTATTTTTGAAAGGGCAAAATGTGTCTTTTACATGTCTATAAAGAAACAGCTTTTCATATCGAGAGATCATAAAATCAGTGGATGTGTATGTGTGTGTGTGAGTGTGTATATACAGTGATTTTATCTGTAGGTATATGCATATATATGCATGTAGACATGCACATTTAAAACATTCTACACTTGAAGAGTTGACCACTAAATTTCTTCATTGGAAAATTATATTCTAATGTTATTTGGCTATGCTATTAATGCTATTAGCAATTACTAAATTTTGCAATTGTATTGATTCTATATTGTACTTTAAGCAAGCTAAATCTGAATGCTGAACCATTTAAAGATAACGCATTGCAGCTCTGCCAGAGCAGAGCAACAGCATGTTTTTTAATTTGCTTCTGGTATCCAAGGGCAGAAATATGTTTCAAGTGATAAGTGAAATTTGCCATGAGCGTCGTTTTCAATAGAATTAGGTGATGCATAGGGTTTTACTTTGAAATTCTGATGAATCTCTTCTCATTTTTGCACTCAAGTTATTGTTCACAGTAAAATGCTTTAGGAAATGCAGGGTGTACATTTAGTGTTATTTTTCAAATACCTAAAGGCAAGTATGCTAGTAAATCTATATAACTAAATCTGAATGCAAAGTACCGATAATACTATATGACTAGTCATATAATATTTTTAATGATAGGATTTTGTTAGTGTCTCTGGCTTATTTGGGTCATTGTTTGTGTAAGTGGGAATGACTATAATGGAAATTATATATAAATGATGCTCTTCTACTTTGACCTTTTGATTATTATCTGGTCTGTATGAAGAAGTTGTTTGCATTTATTCTCATAGTTTCCTCTTCAAGTGATCAAGGAAATGCATACCTTAAGTTATATACTCATTTTTCAGATTAAAATGCAGATTTGTTAAATATTAGATGAGCTCATTCAATCTGCCTTTTTCAGAAGATGGAAATGGAATGTTCTCAAAAGACATGAAAATTTTATGTTTAAGTCACCAGCCTCAAAACCAGTACTACTGAGTATTTGTCCTTATTTGTTTCATTCAACATAACTATGAGCACCTCATATATGCATAGCACATTCATCACAGTTCCAAGATTATATTTGTTTTTCATGGACCAAATATTATGATGGAAGAAAACCTGTTGACAAGTATGTTTTGAAGCTTTCTCACCTTGGGGATACATTAATTAGTACTGTTTTCTATCATTAAAACTCTGAAAATTATTTGTGTTATTTCTTTTTTAAAGGTGAGAGGGATGCCATTCAGAGAAAAACAATATTCTAATCCCTTGACCTTTTCATGATCAGGACAATAAAATTTGCACCAATTATTACTGAATGTATGACTGTTTTCCCCCATGTAACCAGGCTTCCTTCCCATCCTGCTGTCTTTCATTAGGCTTTGGTTGTGATTGTATGTCTTATACTTTTTTACCTTTACTTTTGCATTATATTGATGCACTCATTAAAAATGTTTACTTGTTTAGGGCTGGGAATGTAGCTCAGTGGTAGAGTGCTTACCTAGCATGTGTGAGGCTCTGGTTTCTATCCCTGGTATGAGAGGAAAGGTTTCCTCATTTAAAGCAAAGTTAAGGGCTGGAGTCCCTGATAGAAAAATGTTTTAGACTCAAGTGTAAAACGTGGCAATTAAAAGTCAAACATAAATTGTATATTTTCCCATTTAATCACCTGCATTAGTCCTTTGGTATGGGATCTAAAACCAAAAGAACAAAATGTGAGCTCAGTGAGAAATGTCCATTATGCTCCTTGGGTTCTTGGGTGAGGACATTAAAGAGAGAGGAAGCAATATACAGAAATATGGTCAAAACCTGTTTCTAAAGCAAACAATACTCTTTTGTTGTATAATTAACTTTTTTAAAATTAACATGGAATAAGAGAATATTAAGGAAATCACAAGGTAATGATATAAACCATGACTTAGTTTTTTTCTTAATTCATAGTAGAGAAAAACCATATGAGTGTTATAGGAAAAAGTACCTTGAGTAACTCTGTCAGTAATGAGTAAACTCCAAATAGGTGGGTAGAGAAGAACCACCTGTCTGCATTTATCTCCTATGAGTTGTACTCTTTTTTCTTTTTTTTATTGTTGGTGGGAACAGAACCCAGGGGTGCTCAACCACCGAGCCACACCCCCAGCCCTTTAAAAAAATATCTTATTTAGAGATAGGGTCTCACTAGGTTGCTTAGGGCCTTGCAAAGTTGCTGAGGCTGGCTTTGAACTCCTGCCTCAGCCTGCCAAGCCTCTGGGATTACAGGTTTGTGCCATTGGCCCATCATGAGTTGGACTCTTTGATTACTGTAGGAAGTGTGGTTATGGACTGACCTAGGCTAGCAGTATATGTGGATGATTAAGCCACAGATAACCTGGGAGACACTCTATTTTCAAAACCTGAGCATGTTTTTAGAAATGGAAAACTGTGCTTTGTTAATATTGCAGAAATTATCCTACCGATTCATAATCCTGAAACAGGCACAACATGTTGGAGATTTATAGAGGGTTTTACATATATTTAACAGCATATTTTGACACTTAGGAAAAGTTATTCACTGAAGTCTTAACATTAGTTTGCCAAATGCCAGTGACTTCCTTAGAATACCAAGAATTTAGTTTATTTCTAATTTAAATCACAGTCTTTGAAGTTGAAATTTTAGAATATGTGAGATTATATTTTTGAAGATATAGGAACCTTTGAGAAGAATCATTGATTAAAAAAATCTCAGAAATAATTTAAGAAGTGAAACCAACTGTATTCACAGATTTGCTAGACTTACTTATATAACAAGTACTTAAAAGTTGTAGTGCATCTGTATATGTGTGTGTGTATGCATTTATTATAGTTTTGCTTTTGCCATTATCAGAGACTTTCTTTCTTGGGTCATTTCCAGCTATGGTCTGGATATGATGAAACAATTAAACCCAGACATGACCAAACTAGTTTATCTTAGCTTCCCTTGGCTAATCAATCTAATCTAATGCTGTATGTGCTTTAGCTAAATGCAGTCATTTTGCAATCTAAATGAATCATTAAATGGGCCATATTGTGGTTATTTCACTGAGTATAGACCTGCCTTAATTGTTGAGATAGGCTTGCCTTCTCTTTTTAGTCTTATGTCTGTGCTAAATAGACAAGGGACAAATACAACCTCTGTCTTTTTTGATGGGAGGAAATAATTTAGGTCAATAGCATATCTTTCAATTCAGAAGAGTGTTAATGGCACCAAAGAGGCTTTTATTCAACTAAATAATCACTGACCGTAAATAGTCTGTTGAATGAATATTTAAGAAACCTGCTTCTCCATTTGGAGATTCATGGATTCCTCTGAAATAATTTACTTGGAAACTGTCATTATCCTTTTGCATCTTGTCATATCGTGTTTCATTTGGGATTCTTACTGGGGTTGCAATTAAATTTAATTTTTATTTTTAAAGCACTGGCTGAAAAATAGAACGCATCTTGATAATAACCGCTATCAGATTAATGGTTTTAGATTGTGGATTAGTTCTTTTTTGGACACTGCTTGATATTCAAATGTGGGAATCTGATAACAGTGATTTGATTTATATTTGGATTTTGGCATAAAATTATGTTTAGGACTGTGAGTTTACTTCTTGTTTCTTAAACACATCTTTTCCTCTCAGATTCTCTTATCTCTTATCTAAAGCTCAATATTGAGATTTTTGAATTATTTCCTCCCAGTGAATATAAGCATTTATATTTATATATAAAATCTTCATTGTCCTCACATTATATAGAAAACTCTGATTTTATAATAGAAATTCTAGGATGACCTAGAAAACTAGAATAACAAGCAATCTTTCTTTGTAATTTTCAAGTATAAGATAAAACAATAGTATAACCCTTAAATTTATAACAGATAAAATGTTCCAGTTTTCAACCTAAAGTTTACTTCTAAACTTAATGCATGACTTTAAATGTGACAGTTTGTTTTAAAACACCTTATTTTAACTTTAATAGTATACTTGTCATAACAAAGAAAGAAAAAAGGGCAATATTTGAAAAAAAATCAATTTTATATTGATAATTTTTTTGAGGGGCTGTGAGCTGATTCCAGATTGCTATTAACTTTGCATGACTTGATATTTAGATTGTATTATAAGAGAAGCTCATTAAAATACATTCAAAATTTCTCAAAATATAATTATCCTTTATTTTGGAATCCTTATTCCATAGAGGACATATTTTTGAAATATGGTAGAAATGAATATTTATTGATTTGTTTTAACTTCTAGATCTAAAGTATTCAAAGTGTAAGTAGGGTTAGCTATTTACTAATTTACTAAACACTTCTGTGAAAAAGCTTCTGATTACTAATATTGTTGCTGTTTGTTTTTTTTTTACACCATAACCTCTCTTCGTTGACCACTGCATGCAGATAGTTGGAAGTAAAGTTATGGTAAGTACAAAAGATGTGTTTTAACCTTAGATATAAATTTGTGCTTTGGGGAATTATGATTGTTGTTAGTATAGTATTGTATATGTTTGGTTCTTCTTTTGGCATATATTTTACCAAAGCAATGGGATTCATGTTAAGATCAGGTGATTAGGATTTGTCTCTGTTTTGTTTTGGGATATGGTTTAGAACTAGAATGCTGGTATATTTTCTTAGAAGGTTTTACCTTTTGTTTTTTGGAAGTACTCTTGGGTCAGTCTGTGTGAGTCTCATGAAACTGTACATTGTACCTCAGTTTCTCAGTATGGCAGAGGAAGATTCCTAAAGTATTGGCTTATGTACATTGGAGTTCTTTTTTTTTTTATTATTATTATACCAGGAACTGAACCCAGGGGCACTCAATAACTGAGCCACATCCCCAGCTCTTTTTATATATTGTAAAACTTTGAGACTGGGTCTTGCTGAGTTGCTTAGGGCCTGGATAAGCTGCTGGAGGCTGGCTTTGAACTCTTCTTGATCCTCCTGCCTCAACCCTTTATCTCCCCTAGGTACTGGGATTACAGGCTCGCTCCACTGTGTCCGGCACATATAGGAATGCTTATTAGGCAATCTGAATTTGACTTTAGTATCACTGGGCATATAACGTAATGAAAATGACGTTTGCCATGCAGTCAGGGGGCCTGGATGCTTGTTTATGTTGGGTGCTATTAATCAGCTCTTTGAGTTTGGGTTAATAAGTCATATTTATTTTGTGTTCATTTATTAAATAGATATTTTGAAATCATTTGCTTAAATTATCTACTAAGGTTTTTTTTCCCTTTACTGGTTTTGTACTCAAGGTGTAGTATATTTTAGTTCTGTAATTATATGATGCACTATTATATAACATCTTAAAATTGGCCTGTATTGTGATTGAGAGCTAACTGTAATTTGCTGTCTTAATTGAGCATTCTTTTTGAAAATATTTTTTTAGTTGTCAATGGACCTTTATTTTATTTATTGATATATGGTGCTGAGAATTGAACCCAGTACCTTACACATGCTAGGCAAACACTCTGCCACTGAGCCACAACCCCAGCCTGAGTATTCTTTATTTAGAGAAAAGGATAGCAAACATTATCTTTAATATTTTTGAGCACAGAGGTATCTAGAATAGTGCATGTATTAGTATCTGTTTTGCTTTTAAAAACACATTTTCTTTAATTCATGTGACATCTAGAGGGAAAAAAGCCATCAACCTTTTGGATATTTATTTAGTGTTTTTTTATGTGCCAAGAATTTTACTAGGTGCATTGATGACTAGAAAGTTTATGTTAGATAAGACATGTTGAAATAATCAATATATTAAATTGTCCACACTACCTATAAGTGTAATAGGAATTCATAAGTGGGAGAGAAAGGGAAGGAGGGTTGATGTAATTAGGGGAAAATTCATGCATATTTCTGGACCTAAACTTGGTTTTCTGGAATCTTTCCTTATGAGGATTCAAGGATTCGAGGATTTGGATTTCAATAGGGAGAAGCTCTCAAGATCTTGAAGTAATAGTAAATGTAAAGACCTGGAAAGAGAACCACAATGTGTGCGGGGGTAGGAAAGAGGGAAATGAGATGAGGTTGACTTTGTTGGAACAGATAATGTATATTAGAAGGATTTATAAAACCAAGTTGAAAGAGGGTCTGGAAGTTCAGGAAGAATATAAAAAAAATTAGTTTGGGCAAGGAGTGATAGAATAAAAACAGGATTTAAGAAACATACACTTGATAGGTATTTAGGTTAGATAAGGATAAAGGTTCTCAAACCTGACAGTGCATGAAAATGCAAATGTACCCCCCCTCCCATCCCACTCCAGGATTGTGATTCCTGAGGTTTGGGAGGTAGCCAAGAAATTTGCATTTTTATCTAGCACCACAGGAGATTCAGTTAAGGGAGCTTGAGGAGCACACATTGTGAAATATAGTCATGCACCAAATAACCTTTTAGGGGTGGAGATGCTGTTTCCTTAAGATGGACCTGAAAAATTCCTATCAATTAGCATTTCACTATATATTTAGCTTTGTTTAAATACACAAGTACTTAATGCTGAATTTCAGTGGCCTACAGGATTAAGTATGGTAAAGTGGTGCAGTTTTATAGCCTATGAGCAATGGCATATATATCATGTGGCTATGTGTACAGTAAGCTATGCCATCTAGGTTTGTGTACCTACACTGTATGATGTTCACAAGATGACAGAATTACCTAAAAATTACAACAAATTTTTTTTCCGGAAGGTAATCTGTCTTTATATTAGGCATGATTTATCTGGATTAGGACAGAGAGAGACTCTTTGGGAGGCCATTTGCTAGACTTTTCATTGAATAAGTGAGGACACATATTAAACTGGAGGCTAGATGGAGAGAAGGTGAGTTTCCTGTTAAGGGAGTTTGGAGAGACAAGGGAATCTTAAGCTTATTTTAAGTTGGTCTTGAGCTCTTCTCTATTTCTAGTTTTGGGCTCATTGTGAGTTCTGCTCCCTCATATGTTGAAGTATATCATTAGAGAAGCATGCCCAGGCAAGCATATAAGACAGGGTTTATTTAAAAAGAGTAACACAGACTTCTCCTGGGAGGGAGAAGAGGGGCATAGTATTCTCAGAATATATAGTATTCCTGGTATCCCCAGAAGTGAGGTGTTCGGCCTTTTTTATATGTCTTAGGCTTCCTTTGTTCTCCTTCTCTCTTCTCCTTATCTCTTTCCTTCCTGAGTGTGTGACAAGTCCCAGGAAATGCTTGGTGGGATGGCCAAAAGGTGGAAAACCCGAGAGCTGAAGGGGGAAGGGCAGGACGGAGCAGCCCAGGACACACTAACAACTTTTACAACTGAATGAAGGGAGGGCCAATTCCTGGTTACATTAGCAACAGGTTGGTGGGGGGGCATCGCTGGTTATCTTGATTCCGTGGAGGAAGGGCTCTGAAAGCATTTCAGTCCCTCTGGGGGCAGTCTCCAACTTCCCATACTCATTCAAATTGCCCTCCTTGATCTGACCTGACTCAATTTACCCATCTTTACAGACTACCTGTCTAACTCTGGCTTCAATAGGACTATGTCAGAAGCCAGTGAAATATTAGAGATTCCTTCATATCCAATCAGTTATTAAATTCTGTTGATGATTTTTCCTAATTAACTCTCAATTTGTTACTAAAGCTTGTTCTTTGTCCTCAATGCCAATTCAATAAAAAGGACACATTTTAAAAAATATTTTTTTAGTTGCAGATGGGCCTGTATTTAATTTATTTATATGTGGTGCTAAGAATTGAATCCAGTGCCTCATACATGCTAGGTAAGCATTCTGCCAGTGAGCCTCCAAATGACATATTTTTGAGAAGGTTTATTGCTTTGCTAGAGAAACACCCGGGACTTTAGCCCCAGAGGCTGTGATTCTGCCCATCCCTGAGAACAGGAGTTTTTAGAGAAGTGATTCATTCCAGATGTTTCCTGTGGGGGGTTGTGATTTATTGTTAATTTGGGAGATAACCCTTCCTTAGATCTTCTGGTGCTAATCTCTGAAGTCTGAATTACTTGGTTCCTGTGGAGGGTGTATGCTCAAAGACCCAGAACTCTGTCTGGATTGGAAGAAGGTAATCCTGTCCCCTCCAGGTTAGGGAAGCGGAGATGGAGAAGAGGAAAAGAAAACATGTCCATTTAAAGTAAGCCTCAGTGTCAGAGCGGCAAAGATTATATTCAAAGCCTGAGGTGGACCACAATTACAAACTGTCTTCCATAGTTACCTATACTATTACCTTCTCATAGTATACATTCAGTTCAGACCAATCATTTAACACACTGGTGATTGCTGTAGGCCTTGGCCAGTTTACCCTGTTTTCAACTTCTCATTGTACCCATTGTTCTTCATGGTTACCAGAAATCATGCTATTTCCCTCTTCAAAACCTTCAGATGACTTCCTGTTGCCCTTTGTGATCTCCTCCTTGCCTTCTTTTAAAAAGTCATCTGCTGCATTCCTGTCTTCTATTCATATAGGGACAATTGGCAATTTCTTAAGACACTATTCTTTAATACCTCTAAATCAAGCTTATGCCACTCCTTTGAGCTGGAGTGTCCTTTCTTTAGAGTTCCCAGCAAGCTCCTAAATATCCATAAAGATTAAGCTTCCTATCAATCTTAGGAGAAGCTGTCCTAGGTATCTCCTTCCTTCCCAAAGCTGTATTATTAATACTTAACACATTTTATTTTAATAAATCACTTTCATGTCTTTTTTCACCAATGAAAACAGCTTCTGCCTTCAAGGAGCATAGGTCAATGGAGAAGAAGATAGATAGAGGGTAAAGCTAGGACCTGAAAGTGCAATATACAAAAGGTTTAAAAGTGGGAGGCCAACAGAATCTATAAGGTTCCCAGAGTATTTTGAAAGATGGCATAATGAGATGGGCATTTTTTTTTAAAGAGAGAGTGAGAGAGGGGAGAGAGAGAGAGAGAGAGAGAGAATTTTTAATATTTATTTTTTAGTT